TCCGAGAGCCTCTCGAATCCAGATGCATTGCTAGAATCGATGGCGGTGAATAGAATCGTATCATCCGCGTATGAGTGATGTTTAACACCGAAGCTTGCAATGAGCCAGCCGATCGGGGAAGGGTAGGCTGTTTAAAGTCATTATGCCCGTGCATTATGCAGGATTAGCAGCATCAAAGGGAGAGGGTCGGGGTAGCATTAATAAAGAGAAGGAATGTTAATAGTATGTATCTGCAGTAACTAAACCACCACGTAAACAACTAAAGTATAAACTACATAGTATCATCAGTATACTAAATATACTCTTCAATAAGCTGAGCTACTAACAGTAATACATTACAATTCTGTCGCAAAAAATATAATATGCTACCCGCTAAACTTTATTCTCTTACCTCACACGGGTATACCCCGTACTATATACTGCCATAGACAAACCCAACATTAAATTACATACTGTATTGCTATACACCATTGTAATATTACACTATGTATTATTCTACCTACCCTACTGTATATCACACTGCTGTATATTCACTATACAATTACGATACTATATATATTACTTTTTACATTGTATAAAACATAACAATTGTATACTATTCATTATTATACAATCAGCTATACACTATACCATTGACCGTCGCGTGAAAGATACTAAGAGGAGTGGTAGCTCTGGTAATCTCTCATTTACTTGATACAGCTGTCGTGGCTGTGACGGTTCCACCTGTAGACGGAAGCTTGTGTTGCCTCCGAAACGTCGTGATTTTTATTTTATTTTTATTAATTTAAATTTTTTACCTCCGTGACTTTACCGAAAAAACCTAAGAATATACTAAGAGGAAGCAACGAAATATGTCAATGGGAGAGTGGTGTTAGGAAACTTGCAGCGGAGCAAAGAATCCATTCCCTGCGGAGAATACAAGATATATATAGTCAATGCCAGTGAGTGGACTGCGGTCTGAAAGTCACCGTAAACGTGAACACAATCAGTTAAGATCCGAAATGGTTTATTACGTCCTTCCAATGATTGCTGAGCCAGAATCCATCTTCTCGGTTGAAATTGTCTCTGTGTATGTATATGTGGATCGCCTCATGAACGAATCTCTCATGGTCGCCAGATGGCTTGCAGAGAACCTGTCTTGGAGAAGTCAATATCATGTGAGCCCACTGAATTGTAACAGTGATCTGCCACGGCTGAGGTGTTTGTCCTACCGTGTTTCAAGTCTGCTTTATGTTCACGGATGTGGTCCAAGACATGTCGTTTGGTTTCTCCAATGTAACTGCTACCACAGAGGAAACTTAGTTTGTAGACGCCAGGGTACTGTATGTCTGGAACCACATATTTTACAGACGGGACCAGATCACAGATTTTATGTACTGTGTTGAATCGGACCTGGATCTTGTGTTTTATCAGGATTTTGGAGATCTTTTTTGTGACCCCAGCAATGTAGGGTAAGGTGAGTGTTTTGAAAGGCTCCTCAACAGGATCTTTCTCGATGCTAGGAGTGATGGCTTTGCGGATTGTATAGTCGGAGTAACCATTAGCCTCAAGAGCTTGGCGTACGTGTTTGAGTTCACTGGCAACGTGTTCCTGGTTGGAGATGCATTGGGCTCTATGGTATAGAGTCTTGATGAGGGAATTCTTCTGGGATGGATGGTGGTGGGAATCTGGTTTTAGGTAAGCATCCGTTTGGGTGACTTTCCTGTAGACAGAGTGGCTCATTGAACCATCAGGTCTCCTTTTAATTACGACATCCAAAAAGGGTAGCTTACCATCTTTTTCAACTTCGATGGTGAATCTGATGGCTGGGTGTATAGAATTGATGTGGTCGAGGAATTGGTCTAGAGCAGGCCGGCCATGTGGCCAGATGACAAAAGTGTCATCTACGTACCTATTCCATAAGGTCGGGCGTAGAGTGGCAGTCTGGATGGTGTCAGTCTCAAATTTCTCCATGAAAACGTTGGCTACAACCGGAGATAGGGGGGAGCCCATTGGGGTGCCCTCAGTTTGTTTGTAGAAAGTTCCATTCCAAGTGAAGTATGTATTGGTTAAGCAGTGTCTCACCAGGGGGGGTACCCCCGTATTCAGTCCTTGATTAACCAAGTCTTCAATGATTGCGATGGTGTCAGGTACAGGAACTTTGGTGAATAAGGAAACCACATCAAAACTGACAAGCAGGTAGTCTGGGGACAGGGAAATTCCCTTGATTGTCAATACCAGGTCAGTAGAGTTTAGTACTGCAGGTGGTTTTTCCAGTGAAAGGCCGCAGGATTTCAGACAAAAAACGAGCCAGTTTGTAGGTCGGGGAGTTGATAGTAGAGACAATGGGACGAAGAGGTGTCTCTTCTTTATGTATCTTTGGCAAGCCATAAAATCTTGGTGGCCTGGCTGCAGAAGGTTTCAACGAAAACTGTTTGGTTTGATCAATTAATGCGGTTGAATCAGAAATGATTTTGTTGGTTTTAATGACGAGGCTATTGGTGAGGTGTCTTTTTATTTTTGTATAGATGCATTCGTTGAGTAGTTCTTGAATTCGGGCAAGATTCTGTGATCAAAAGAAAAATCTCAACACAATAGCATTCCTGTGTGTAGATTCGTAACATAGATGCTTATAAATGTTTAGAGTGTCATCAATGAATTGATAAAGTTATGCAATTAATGAAAACATGACCGTATTCATGTAACTCAAGAGACAGAACAATGCTTTTCACATTCAACTAATAGTTAACACACCACAAATATATATATTTTTTAACAATCTTATTAGTACGAATATGCGCATTATGTGTGTGGGCGTGTTGTCTTGCTAACTGTTGAGTTAGCGGCTTCCGAGGTGCTGCGTTCCTTGTACCGAAAATTCTTCAGATCCCCAGCAGGGGCGCTGGGTCGGCGTGTGTGTGAACACAGCGTTCTCGGCTGCTTTGTCAGTCTTTCTCCACTGCTGGGGTGGTTGCCGAGTTGGCACGCTGGTCACGCTGTCGGTAGTGCCCCTGCTGGCAGGGATGATGGGTCCGGCTACGTCTCCATAGATGTGCGCGATGATCCCGTCGCCAGACACCGCTTGCAGCTCGTCCGCTGGTTGACGCGCGTCATCCCCATTGGCAACAGACACTTTTGATCCTTATAGACTGTGGAGCGACTTGGAGAGACAGTGCCTGTCGTCTCCCCCCCCCCCACCCCCTTTTCAAGAGTCCTCTTCCAGTTGTCTGTACGACTCGTGCTCCACAGAGGACACGCTTCAGATCAAGTTATATCGTTCCGTGTCAGTCTCTGATCCGATCCTCAACTAAACTTCGCCTGTGGGTTGCGATTTAAAGGGGCACTCTCACGAATAATGGTTGCACCAGCTTTCCCTCGAAGGGTTGACTTTGATCGGAGCACAATTGGAACGATTGTCACTATGATCGCATGTGTTGGCTGTACACAGCAACCTCGCCACCGGGAATAGTAATGCTACGGCACTCTTCCCCACATTTGTATTATAATCCTGCGAGCACCAGCCTTGGCTGGCAGCCTCTCTCAATGACGCAAAAAAACTCTCCGTGATGTATGGCTTCTGCTGATGCAGAGCTCCCTATCAACTTGCCAGTCCCGAGAGCAATCCCTGGAGCCTGCCACTCGCAGTACTTCTTATTCTTTAGTATGGCATTGTGAAAATAAAGTTTTTATTTTTAATGATCGTCATTAATGAATGCAGAGGTTACTCATCCAGTCCAATGATGTGGTTGACGCAGTGTGGATTTCAGCGATACCGCCAGGATGTGCATGGATGGAGCATTCAACGGTGATGTGCTTGATGGTTCGGACTTCTCCACAGTCGCAGTTGGGCAATTCTTTGAGCAGTACTGATTTCTGTTCTTGCATTCTTGCTTATATCTGAAATTTTGCACCTCAGGCTCTTTCTTCTCATAAAGGGGCCGCTGTTTTCCTTTTGAAGTCGCATGGGCTGTTTGTTGTCCAGATGTCTTCATTATTTATTATGTTTTGGGCAGCGTTCCCCACGCTCCCATCACGGGTTGGAAGTGTTACATTTTTTTCGCATGAGACTTGCAGTCTCTCTCAAAAAGGGGTTCTGTAGCCTTTGAAGTAGTGACCTATTGTGCACGGGTGTGCTTGTTGTCGCCATGTATACCGTTCTCTCATCACGGGTTGGAAGCAAAAAATGTGTTATTTTACACCTCTTATAGCTTGGAACCGTATCACTTTCCAGTTTTGACTCTGCAAGTGACTCCAAGTACGTTTTGAGCAGCGTTCACTGCACTCACGTCGCTGTTTGGAATTCTTGCGTGGTATTTGATATATTAGGGGGAGGCGCCCCGCTGCATATATAATTTACTGCTACCATGTGCTGTTAGCTACTGGAAGCCAAAGGGGGTTAGTTAGGCTCTGATCCCGTGTAATACATATTATCTTGGTCGTGTGTAATTGATCCATTCGCATTGTATCACTTCTGAATGACTATAGGTCTAATACTTTCATAATTACTTCGTTATATATACAACTTGCTCTTCAAGTGAGAATGTTTTCCCCTTTTTTATGGCAACAAATCAAGTGTTGAGATGTTAAAACACCAAACTGAAACTTTTTAACAATGTATCATGTCTGCATTAACCACAATACTTGGGGTCAGAATGCAAACAAAAAACACTGATAATATATACATTGTCTTTGAAACTGATTGGTCCACACCAGAGACAGCTTTCTTTCGAGCCTAGTATCAAACCATTTTCGACAAGAGGACGCCAAAAGGCTTCGAGTGTTTTTGATGAGATATGATACAAAACTCCGAGTTGTTGAGGCGAATAAGCAAGCACCATATACATGTTAATATTATAATAACATAGTGAAAGCTTGGGAGCATATTGGCTCTGGCTCCTAGTTAGAGATCTACCCAACCCACAGGTACGCAAATACTGTCCGCTCTTACTCTGCAGGTTGAACTTAGGAATGGAGTGTTCAACTTCACGTTATTTTCATTAAAGGCCTGTGACAAAGGTGAATCTATTGGAGCCTCATTGTCTTAAGCTTACATATCTACAGGGTCTCCATTTGACTTCGTATTGTCTAAGAAGTCCACCCACACCTCCACTTCCACAAACTGCTGGGAGTTGCCTTGCTCTGCCTCACAGTCAGAATTCAGCTCCTGCTTCACGTTGCATCCATCGATGTGAAGGTCCGATTTTGGAGTTGAATCTTCATCTTCACATTTCACCTTCAGTTCTTCGCTCTTCACCGTCACTTCTTCAAATTTCACCTTTAAACATTTCATAATGTCCAGGCTGGAATTCACTTCTGGTTCTTTTTTCAGGAGGGATGGGCTCATTGCAGCACTTTGACTTTCACAAGTCGATTTCAGACTACACTCCTTGGGGATCTTCTGATGCCTGTGTGTTCTCTGGTGTCGATGAAGAACTGATGACTGTGCAAATGCCTTCTCACACACACTGCACTTGAAGGATTTCTCTCCTGTGTGTGTTCTCTGGTGCCGTTTAAGATTAAATGAACCTGAAAATACCTTCCCACACAAACTGGACTTGAAACGTTTCTCTCCCGTGTGTGTTCTCTGGTGGATCTGAAAACCTGATGACCATGCAAATGCCTTTTCACAGACAGTGCACTTGAAGGGTTTCTCTCCTGTGTGTGTTCTCTGGTGGATCTGAAGATCTGATGACCATGCAAATGCCTTCTCACACACAGTGCACTTGAAGGGTTTCTCTCCTGTGTGCGTTCTCTGGTGTTTTTTAAGACGTGATGAATCTGCAAAGGGCTTCCCGCACAGAGTGCACTTGAAGGGTTTCTCTCCTGTGTGTGTTCTCTGGTGCTTTTGAAGATATGATGACCGTCTGAATGCCTTTCCGCACACAGTGCACTTGAAGGGTTTCTCTCCTTTGTTTGTTCTTTGGTGTTTTTCAAGATCTGATGACTTTGCAAATGCTTTATTGCACAAAAGGCACCTGAAGAGTTTCTCTCCCGTGTGTGTTCTCTGGTGGATCTGAAGATGTGATGACCGTGCAAATGCCTTCTCACAGACAGTGCACTTGAAGGGTTTCTCTCCTGTGTGCGTTCTCTCGTGTTTTTTAAGATGTGATGAATCTGCAAAGGGCTTCTCGCACAGAGTGCACCTGAAGGGTTTCTCTCCTGTGTGTGTTCTCTGGTGCCTTTTAAAAGTAGATGAACATGAAAATGCCTTCTCACACACACTGCACTTGAAGGGTTTCTCTCCCGTGTGTGTTCTCTGGTGGATCTGAAGACCTGATGACCGTGCAAATGCCTTCTCACAGACAGTGCACTTGAAGGGTTTATCTCCTGTGTGCGTTCTCTGGTGGATCTGAAGACCTGATGACCGTGCAAATGCCTTCTCACAGACAGTGCACTTGAAGGGTTTCTCTCCTGTGTGCGTCCTCTCGTGTTTTTTAAGATGTGATGAATCTGCAAAGGGCTTCCCGCACAGAGTGCACGTGAAGGGTTTCTCTCCCGTGTGTGTTCTCTGGTGTATTGTAAGATGTGATGACTCGGCAAAAACCTTCCCGCACACAGCGCACCCGAAGGGTTTCTCTCCTGTGTGTGTTCTCTGGTGGCTCTGAAGAACTGATGACCGTGCAAATGCCTTCTCACACACACTGCACTTGAAGGGTTTCTCTCCCGTGTGTGTTCTCTGGTGTATTGTAAGATGTGATGACTCGGCAAAAACCTTCCCGCACACAGCGCACCCGAAGGGTTTCTCTCCTGTGTGTGTTCTCTGGTGGCTCTGAAGAACTGATGACCGTGCAAATGCCTTCTCACACACACTGCACTTGAAGGGTTTCTCTCCCGTGTGTGTTCTCTGGTGGATCTGAAGACCTGATGACCGTGCAAATGCCTTCTCACAGACAGAGCACTTGAAGGGTTTATCTCCTGTGTGCGTTCTCTGGTGGATCTGAAGACGTGATGACCGTGCAAATGCCTTCTCACAGACAGTGCACCTGAAGGTTTTCTCTCCTGTGTGTGTTCTCTGGTGTTTCTTAAGATGTGATGAATCTGAAAAGGGCTTCCCGCACAGAGTGCACGTGAAGGGTTTCTCTCCCGTGTGTGTTCTCTGGTGTATTGTAAGATGTGATGACTCGGCAAAAACCTTCCCGCACACAGCGCACCCGAAGGGTTTCTCTCCTGTGTGTGTTCTCTGGTGGCTCTGAAGAACTGATGACCGTGCAAATGCCTTCTCACACACACTGCACTTGAAGGGTTTCTCTCCTGTGTGTGTTCTCTGGTGCCGTTTAAGATTAAATGAACCTGAAAATACCTTCCCACACAAACTGGACTTGAAACGTTTCTCTCCCGTGTGTGTTCTCTGGTGGATCTGAAAACCTGATGACCATGCAAATGCCTTTTCACAGACAGTGCACTTGAAGGGTTTCTCTCCTGTGTGTGTTCTCTGGTGGATCTGAAGATCTGATGACCATGCAAATGCCTTCTCACACACAGTGCACTTGAAGGGTTTCTCTCCTGTGTGCGTTCTCTGGTGTTTTTTAAGACGTGTTGAATCTGCAAAGGGCTTCCCGCACAGAGTGCACTTGAAGGGTTTTTCTCCTGTGTGTGTTCTCTGGTGAATTTGAAGATATGATGACCGTGTGAATGCCTTTCCGCACACAGTGCACTTGAAGGGTTTCTCTCCTTTGTGTGTTCTTTGGTGTTTTTCACGATCTGATGACTTTGCAAATGCTTTATCGCACAAAAGGCACCTGAAGAGTTTCTCTCCCGTGTGTGTTCTCTGGTGGATCTGAAGATGTGATGACCGTGCAAATGCCTTCTCACAGACAGTGCACTTGAAGGGTTTCTCTCCTGTGTGCGTTCTCTCGTGTTTTTTAAGATGTGATGAATCTGCAAAGGGCTTCTCGCACAGAGTGCACCTGAAGGGTTTCTCTCCTGTGTGTGTTCTCTGGTGCCTTTTAAGAGTAGATGAACATGAAAATGCCTTCTCACACACACTGCACTTGAAGGGTTTCTCTCCCGTGTGTGTTCTCTGGTGGATCTGAAGACCTGATGACCGTGCAAATGCCTTCTCACAGACAGTGCACTTGAAGGGTTTCTCTCCTGTGTGCATTCTCTCGTGTGTTTTAAGATGTGATGAATCTGCAAAGGGCTTCCCGCACAGAGTGCACCTGAAGGGTTTCTCTCCTGTGTGTGTTCTCTGGTGTTTCTTAAGATGTGATGAATCTGAAAAGGGCTTCCCGCACAGAGTGCACGTGAAGGGTTTCTCTCCTGTGTGTGTTCTCTGGTGTAATGTAAGATGTGATGACTCGGCAAAAACCTTCCCGCACACAGTGCACCCGAAGGGTTTCTCTCCTGTGTGTGTTCTCTGGTGGCTCTGAAGAACTGATGACCGTGCAAATGCCTTCTCACAGACAGTGCACTTGAAGGGTTTATCTCCTGTGTGAATTTTCTGGTGCTGTGTCAAATTTCCAGCACGATCCGTGCTGTATGCGCACTGGTCGCATTGTTGCCTTTTTCTACCGAGCTGCGCTGAGTGCCTTTGCTCCATCACACCAATTCTGTTGAGGAAGCGTCGGAAGAAGCGTCAGCTGCAGACAGAAAAAATATCCACACCATCTACGTCAGTATCGAGGCACAGAGGAATAAATATATATACATAGTCACACATAACTTACACGTCTATGTATATTCATATATTAAAGATATTCCCCAATCCATCACACGGGCTGTTAAGGCACACAATGAGAGGGCAAATGGTTATAAATATGCCTGGAGGCCCTAGTATCTTCAAAATAAATATGAACCCAAAACACCAAGCACAAAATTTTGGCTGCCTGGCTACAAAAGCAATATTTATAAAAGCAAAATTCAGTTAACATAGCAACGACTGTTGAAAATAATACTATTTGTATTATGCATAAATGCATAAATTAATGTCCAATCACAACTTAGAGGTGTGAAGCCAGGCTGATTTGCTTGAATGCTTGGATGAACAGATGTAACTACAGCAGCATATCTGCTGTGTTAATTTCCTGACGATTCCATTCTTACAAAAAGTTCCAGAGGAAAACAAAAATAAGCTATAGTTTTGATTTAACCTCCATGTTCAATAGTTAATATACTTTGCTGCAAATACAAACTTGACACTGTCACACACTGGCATTGTAAAAAGGTGGTGGTGTCCAGAACCATGCCTGGCCACCTTGATCTGCTCAGTATTAATGCTTCCTCACTTTACCATGTAACTAGCTGTACTACCCGGCTTCGCCCGGGACTTGGATCCACCACGCCCGGCCGCCTTTGTCTCCCCAGTGGCGATGTTCATACGCCACACCAGTTACTCGTTTTGAGGCTGAGTCGACCTAGGAAAGGACCAGGACCGGTTCAAATAATCGTCACCGGTGGTGGCCGTGAGCGGGAATGGAACTCGGGTCGCCGGGTTCGTAGTGCGGCGCGCTAACCACGACACTACAATGCGTTATGCTTCCGTTGTAGGGTTTGTGTAAGGCGCGCCGATCCATTGTAGGATTTGTGTGAGGCATACCGATCCGTTGTAGGATTTGTGTGAGGCGCGCCGATCCGTTGTAGGGTTTTAGTGAGGCGCGCCGATCCGTTGTAAGGTTTTAGTGAGGCGCGCCGATCCGCTGTAGGGTTTTAGTGAGGCGCGCCGATCCGTTGTAGGGTTTGTGTGAGGTGTGCCGATCTGTTGTAGGGTTTTAGTGAGGCGTGCCGATCCGCTGTAGGGTTTTAGTGAGGCGCGCCGATCCGTTGTCGGGTTTGTGTGAGGCGTGCCGATCTGTTGTAGGGTTTTAGTGAGGCGCGCCGATCCGCTGTAGGGTGGTGGGGTGTCGAGGCCTAGTACCGTGCAGAGCCTCCGGCCTCGCCTAAATTGCCCACCCGGCTGAGGCTGGGTACGGGTGCCATTCCCCCCCCCCCCCCCCGCGCTACAATAATACTGTTTAATCGCTATAATTTTATTATCTACCGACCCTATAATAGTAATTGCACACATTGGGGTGGGGGGGGAGTGAAGAGGACGTGAAACTTTGATGAATTTACCTCAGAGTCGTGTGGTGGGTGTCGAGGCCTAGTACCGTGCAGAGCCTCCGGCCTCGCCTAAATTGCCCACCCGGCTGAGGCTGGGTACTGGTTCCAGTACCCCCCCCCCCCGCGCTACAATAATACTGTCTAATCGCTATAATTTTATTATCTACCGACCCTATAATAGTAATTGCACACATTGTGGTGGGGGGGGAGTGAAGAGGACATGAAACTTTGATGAATTTACCTCAGTCGCGTGTTAATGCGTGCGCATATTTTTAACGGGAATTAAAAATGGCGTCCACCCCGCAGCGAATGCGTCGCTACCCGTTGCCAGGGGTAACCGCCGTCCAATGAAACTGCGTATGGTCCGGCGACACACAGACACACACACAGACAGACAGACAGATTTGCGATTTTATATATATAGATTAATTTAAGATCAATCAACATAGCAGAGGACCATAATAAGTTCAGCTTTCACTTATCAATCTTGTTTGCTGTCGGCGATAATCAAACTAATTGTTGAATTCATAATGCAGTGAAATAACTGCGCCACAGCTCCCCACAAAGACAAACTCTTAAATCCACATACATTTCACATGGATCTTCTTCTTACCTATACAAGTCATTTTTGTCTGTTTTTCTGTACTTCTGTCTGTATACAAAACTTGCGGCAGATTTGACTCGCGAACCATGGAGTTAACGTTTAAAAAAAGTACCCGGGTACCATGCGATAAGCCCCATGGTGAGCCAGCGCTAATCGTATTTTGCGCCCGTCAACTTTAAAGTAGTTAAATTAACAAGTTAGTATAAGAATAGGTTTTCCCATTTTTTTCTGACAACAAAACTGGTGTTAATATGTTAAAACACCAAACTTAAACCTTTTTCAAGGAATCATTTCTGCATAAACACTATATATTTGTCGTCAAAATGCAAAAAAAACATGCTCTGATAGTATATGCATTGTCATAATAATAGGGTTGTTCCCCTTTTTTTCTGGAAACAAAACCAAAACCTTATTACAAGGAGTCATGTCTGCATTAATCACAATACTTGCAGTCAAAATGCAAAAAAAACACTGATAATATATGCATTGTCCTTGAAACTGATTGGTCCACACCAAAGACAGCTTTCTTTAGAGCCTCATCTCAATTGGTGCTAGACCAGATGACGCCAAAAGAAGTACAGCTCAAAAACAATACACTATCAAAGTAATGAGGGCTCAGGGTAAACATCTACATCATTGGACCTCCTTTGCCAGTACCAAAATATAATAGGTTTGTTCCCCTTCTTTTCTGGCAGCAAAACTGAAACCTTTTTACAAGGATTCATGTCTGCATTAACCACAATACTTGCAGTCAAAATGCAAACAAAAAAAACACTGATAATATATGAATTGTCCTTGAAACTGATTGGTCTACACCAGAGCCAGCTTTCTTTTGAGCCTAGTCTCAAACAGTGATAGACCAGAGGATGCCAAAAGGCGAAGGAGGTCCCATGATATAACAATTTAGTACTATTAATTATTATATTACAATGCTGAGCGCGCGCCAAAGCACATATCTGCGCATGCGCGAGGCCGGGGCCCCTGCATGGGACTAGGCCTTATCGCAGCACTGTTAAGTACTATATTCTTAGTTCTTTCGGTAAAGTCATGTAGATAGAAAAATCTTAATAAAAAAAGAAGTCAATTAAAATCGAAATAGTAAAAATAAAAAAACACTAATGTAGATAGGCCTCGTTCTTAATCGGAGTTGTGTACTGGCAGTCTATAATGTAGACTATGTTTAGGGCCAGCCTAGCTCTAATCTCAGAGAGAATAAGATTGCTCCGATTTTAACTTGATAATTTAGACAAGACTCTTACAATCACACCTAGCATTAACAAATAAAATGTCCACATCTGATTGCGACCATGTAGATAACATGACAGTTTCTTCAGCCACTTCAATGTCAACTAAACGTAAAGTTAACTTGATTGCTAAATTCAACCTCATGTAAAAAAAGAAGCCCAAGCCACACAATAAAAAGTCAGATGTTAACAAGATTTTTATCAGAGTAACAGCCCAATTTCCGACAGCCGAAAATCGGTACTAGCTAAAGGGTTGAATTTTACAGTCTCTCCTAAATACATCCCAGTGTGTGATATCATTGCCCAGGTCGACATAGACCTCAAAGGTTTGGGACACATCCTGGCAGACGTTGCAAGATTTGAAAGCGCTGCTATCCTCAAAAACGCTAAGAAACCCGTTAGCAACATCAGCAAGGATGAGCGTTTTGAACTCGCTCAATTAAAAAAGAGAGGTGACATTGTCATCCTCTCACTTGACAAAGGCAATGCCACTGTCATCCTGGATAAAACCACTTAGAACAACAGAATTTAGGACCTTCTTAATGATGGCAGCTATACCAAAATCAATAGAGATCCCACCAACTGCTTAGCCACAAAAACCAACATCATCACTAATTCGACTTCTCTAACCGAGCCGACCATGCAGATCTCTCTAAAACCTTCGGCTGCTAGACCACCCAGATTTTATGGCCTTACAAAAATCCACAAAGTAGGTACCCTGCTCCGTACTATCGTCTTCACCATTAACTCACCCACCTACAAACTGGCCCGATTTCTGTCTGAGACCCTGCTTCCTTTCACGGGCAAGACTACCTCAGCTGTACTTAACTCAGCTCACTTAGTTTCTCTAATCAAGGACAGCGCACTGTCTCCCGATGATTTGCTTGTCAGTTTCAAAGTAGACTCCCTGTTCACCAAGGTACCTGTACCTGACACCATTGCAATCATTGAAGACTTGGTCCAATAGTGACTGAATCCAGATGTACCAACTTTGGAAAGGAACTGCATTACCAACACTTACTTCACCTGGAATGGTACATTCTACAAACAAAATGAGGGTACCCCAATGGGTTCTACCTTACTACTACAGCCAGGACACACTGCTTTAGAATTAGTATAGTGACTACTACAGCCAGTACACACTGCTATAGAGTTAGTATAGCTACTAATACAGCCGGTACACACTGCTATAGAGTTAGTCTAGCTTCTACTACAGCCAGTACACGCTGCTAAAAAGTATAGTAGCTACACAGTGAAGGAAAAAAGTATTTGATCCCCTGCTGATTTTGTACGTTTGCCCACTGACAAAGAAATTATCAGGCTATACTTTTAATGGTAGGTTTATTTAAACAGTGAGAGACAGAATAACAACAAAATCCATAAAAATGCATGTCAAAAATGTTATAAATTGATGTGCATTTTAATGAGGAAAATAAGTATTTGATATCCTCTGAATCAAAAAGATTTCTGGCTCCCAGGTGTCTTTTATACAGGTAACGAGCTGAGATTAGGAGCACACTCTTAAAGGGAGTGCTCCTAATCTCAGCTTGTTACCTGTATAAAAGACACCTGTTCACAGAAGCAATCAATCAATCAGATTCCAAACTCTCCACCATGGCCAAGACCAAAGAGCTCTCCAAGGATGTCAGGGACAAGATTGTAGACCTACACGAGGCTGGAATGGGCTACAAGACCATCGCCAAGCAGCTTGGTGAGAAGGTGATAACAGTGGGTGCGATTATTCGCAAATGGAAGAAATACAAAACTGTCAATCTCCCACGGCCTGGGGCTCCAAGCAAAGTCCCACCTCGTGGAGTTGCAATGATCATGAGAACGGTGAGGAATCAGCCCATAGCTACACAGGAGGATCTTGTCAATGATCTCAAGGCAGCTGGGACCATAGTCACCAAGGAAACAGTTAGTAACACACTACGCCGTGAAGGACTGAAATCCTGCAGCACCCGCAAGGTCTCCCTGCTCAAGAAAGCACATATACATGCTCGTCTTAAGTTTACCAATGAAAATCTGAATGATTCAGAGGACAACTGGTTGAAAGTGTTGTGGTCAGATGAGACCAAAATGGAGCTCTTTGGCATCAACTCAACTCGCCGTGTTTGGAGGAGGAGGAATGCTGCCTATGACCCCAAGAACACCATCCTCACCGTCAAACATGGAGGTGGAAACATTATGCTTTGGGGGTGTTTTTCTGCGAAGGCAGGCATGTCGAAAGTCCGGCCCGCGGGCCAATCACGGCCCGCGAGTCGGATTTCATACGGCCCGCAGCTTCGGTCTTATAAATCATAAAACTTTAAAGATGTAATTTCTCCTTTCACCACATGGTGGCGGCACCATTCTAATTCTATCTGGCTCTGTATCCGTGCCGCAAACCCTTCTCGAGTCATTTCTGCCATGGCGACTGCAAAAAAAGAAATGCGGTCATTCGCTAAGAAAATGCTGAGCTTATTCGGCTCCACATATTTGTGTGAGCAAACATTCTCAGTCATGAACTTAAACAAGAACCGATTGAGGTCAAGGATGAGCGACTCCCACCTGCATGGCATTTTACGCATCTCAACCACTGCCCTCAAGCCAGACCTGGTCTCTTTACTGAAATCTAGATCTCCGTATCACCCTTCTCATTACTGTCAGCAAGTTATCTGTTCCTCGATCAATCTGAAATTGAGTGTTTTGAACGGTAACATCTGCCACTATTAACAGTGAAAAGCCTAAAGCACACTAATTCACTTGGACTTATGGCACTTGTTTTATTAAACTCTTGAAAAAGATTTGGTTATAAATGTTGATGTTATGTTTCTGTAGATGTGACACAAACTATTGCTTTCTGAAAGATTTTGTAAAAGACAAGGGCAAAATTCACTTGTTTTAAAGTTTAATAATAACAGACCACTTTGCATTACTTATAACTTCTGTTTAAAATGTTCATGAGGCAAAGATATTTAACTCATGGAAATTTAAAGTATTCTATACAGTTTGTTCAATGTTAACTGACTGAATGAAAGGCAGAATTTGTTTTTAGAGTTGTTCACGTCTGCCTGAGTGGCTTATATTTGGTTACATTGTCATTTGAAAAATAAAGGTAATTGTGACAATGAAAATTGTTTTTAATAACAGTGTGTATTTTCACGTAACTTTTGTGGTTAAAAAATGTCAAAAGGAACTATTGGCCCCCAGGAATCTTCACTTTATCAAATGTGGCCCTTTTTGCAAAAGGTTTGGACACCCCTGTGCTAAGGGGACAGGACAACTTCACCACATCAAAGGGACGATGGACGGGGCCCATGTAGCATCAAATCTTGGGTGAGAACCTCCTTCCCTCAGCCAGGGCATTTAAAATGGGTCGTGGATGG